ACTAGAAATTTACTATAAGACAAGTATGCCCCTACTTTACCGGTCTGACAAAGTGTCATTTATACTGATTTTTGACCAAATGGCCTAAAAATTATAAGCTGTCAACTTCTGATCAAACCATGGCTTATTCCTTTTAAATTATTCACCAGAAAAGGATTTTTACATGAAATGTCATGGTTACCTCGACCCTTGATCTTAAACATCCTTATAGGCTTTTCTACTGGCCATGGGTAATGCTCCTACCAAATAAAATAAACCAGGACGTATTCCTTCTCAAATTATCGAATAAACAAGGTTAACAGGCCATTGAACGTACATACTGACCAATTCTATAAAAGAATTGTCCCTACAAAAGGCCAGTCGAAATTAATGTCTGATTTATAAGCCTTGAAAGTGGACGTCAAATATAATCCTAAAGACATGTAGTGTTATCTGTCTGGTTAATTATCTCGTGCGCACGACCTAGTTATCTAATGGCACAATTATAATAATGCAAAATATGACGAAATTTTCATTAAGATGGAACAAATTTGGAACCATACTGCTCTAAATCCCATAGTGTATATACAAATAATACAAAAATAATGCAATAGAAAAAGTTTCATGAAAAGTTTTAAGAATTTAATCTGCATGTTGTCATATAAAAAACCATAATAAATAAACATTATTATATGAAAACATGTACTTATTATTCATCTACTATATCAGTCACTTTACGGGTTACATAGAAATCAACACATCTGTTTTAGCGCAAAACAGATTAAATTGTCTTTAAACAATATATTCACACAAGTTCACTGTCTCTTAACTATATTATATAGAGAGCTAATGTGAAACAAACACCATACGTATACAGTAATTAAATATCAGTGCGTTTCGTCATACATTCAAATGATCATTAATGACAATAATATAATAACAATGTGAAACACTGAAATTCACAAATAAAAACTTTTTAATTAAATTTATCTAAAACATTTCCTCTGATAATGTCATTTTATAGTTACATATGCACTACAGGTATATAATACACTCCTAGAGGACATTTATAAAACCAAAATCCAAATGTCTAAGTTTGATACTCCACACATGTTTACTGACTCCCAACTATGTTTTTTATTTTCATAAAAAATGTTTATAAGTCATCAAACTAAAATAAGAATTTCATTATCATTGATTTTTCTAAAACTGTATTAATAGAAAGATTTTCAAATTCGCTAGGAATTGTCATACACTATTAATATAATTTTTAAAAAAGCAATGCATTTATCAATAAATATGATAGAAACTGATAAATAATTTATCAAGTGGTCAAAATCATTTAGTTAATAGTAGCCGTAACCCAAGTGCGTCACTACCTCACCTGGCGGACACTACTTAGTCTTTTTTACACTAAAACTGTTTTTCTAACTCAAAACAACATACTTAATTATTTTTATTTAATATGTTATATATGATCATTTCTGTTTATTTCGTTCGTATAACATTTCAGATGCTGTAGTTTGTACAGAATTATCATGTTTTTCTCTTGTTTTAAATGTAAATGTATTAAATGCAAAATAATTCCTAGTTACTTCAAAGTTTGGATTCATTCTAACATAATCACGTTTCTCTATTTGTATGTTGCCGTCTGTACTAACCTCAACAGACTGATGAAGAAGACTATCAACAAATGTACACCACTTGTCAAGACTCATGTTTGTATTATATAATTCAATGTATATAAGACTTTTCAATTCTGGTGTTACTGTAAGAAGAACGTTATCATCTATATCTGCATCCTTAAAGGTCAGATTACAAAGTTGATGTAAAGTATGTACAACATCATTTATTTGTTTGTTGTATTGAAATTTATTACCATTATTATCACCTTGTAAGTGCAGATATTTCAGTTTATTGGCCTTTGACAAAAGACAAAAATCAAATACAACAGCACAGCTTTCAATGTGTACCTTTACAAGCTGTTCAATGTTTAAGGCAGAAATCTTAATGTTTTTACAGTTAGACAGATTGAGGGTCTGAAGCTGGTTCTGTTGAGAGAGATCTACATGTTTTACTTGTGCATTGCCTTCAACAGCAGACTGATCACCAGACACACTTGTCAACTCTAAATGTTTTAAAGTGTTCTGTTGTAATGACGATACAAGTGTTGAAATATCACAGGTTAGATATCCAAGGTGAATTTTAATGAGATTGCTGGCATTTGATAACATAATTAACTTTAGATCTAATACTGGAGCATTAGGCCAGACTTTATTCATGAAAAATTGTCCAAATGAGTTATACCCACATCCTTTTGCTACTGTAACACAGCATTTGACTTGCTTATTATTTAGGAGAGTGTTATGTCTGGACATATCTGTATTGTCTTGTTTATCCTGGTCACATTGTACTTTACTCGTATATAAAGTCAGCTGTCTAAAGGGATTTTGTTGTAATACTGATGGAAGTAATATCACATCACAAGTATAAAATTCAACATAAAGATCATATAGTGTTTCTACATTTGATAAAAGATCAAAATCTAATATTCCAGGACAGTGCTTAATATGTACCTTTCTAAGATTAACAGTGTTAAGATCAGAAATTGTAATGTTTTTACAGTCGGATGGCTTAAGGATCTGAAGCTTGTTCTGTGTAGAAAGATCTTCATGTACTATATTCAGATCACCTTCAAAGGTAGCCTGATTACCAGACAAAGATTCCAAACTGAGTTCCATTAATGTGGCCTGTTTTAACAAAAAATCAAGGGACAGTTTGTCACAAATAAGATCTTTAAGGTGTAGTTTAGTTATATTCCTGGCATTTGAATAAAAATTAAATTCTAATTTTGGTTTAAGGTCATCATTAAAGTTAAATTCTACGTTTACATATTGGTCATCTACGTGCATTGATTTATATACCATAACACGACACATAGCCGGCTTATAATTTTGGAGATGATTCTGTCTAGACAGATCACTATTATTGATTCCTGTTTCCTTGTCACAATGTACATGATCTATTGTCAGCATTCTAAATGGTATTTGTTGTAATGCTGATGACAGTGACATTACATCACAAGTACGATTTATGTTTGTACTTAAGTTAAAAAACAGCTTTCTAGCATTGAGTAAAAGGTAAAAATCCATTGCAGATGGACAATTATCAATGTCTACCTTTTCAAGTTTTTCATGGTTTAGATCAGAAATTATTACATTCCTACAGTCGGACATCTTAAGAATCTGAAGCTGGTTTTGTTTAGAAAGATCTACGTGTATACTACCTTCAGCAACAGACTGATCACCAGATACACGTGTAAAAACCAGTTCTTTTAAAGTTATTTGTTGTAAAATCAATTCAAGTGAAGATATATCACATGTAAGATCTTCAAGATGAAGTGCTATGCTTGTGTTTGACGGAAGACAAAACTTCAATACAGGTAAAATTGTGGAGCAAACTAGACCGTTTCGAATGATTACCTGTACACGGTAATTGAAAATCTGTCAATGTACTTCACACTTTTCCTGTTGTTGTAATAATGATGGTTTTGTTGGTTTATCACAAGTGTTATGTTCAACGCAAAGCTGATTCAATTTAGAAAGATCTACGTCAATTCTCGGCACACAATCTTGTACCATAGACTGATAAACATGTATATTTGCCAATGTAATTCTTTTTAAATTGGTGTGTTGTAACAATGATAAAAAAGACTTTTTATCACAAGAAATATATTCAAGGTGTATTGTGGATAGGTTGCTGGTGTTTGAGGGAATGCTGGATTCTAAAACCGTAATGGTCGAGTTAACAAGGTGTATGTCAACAAGCTGTTCACTGTTTATGTTAGAAATTTTTATTTCACCACAATGTTCCATGTAAAGTTCCCGGAGCTGGTTTTGCTTAGAAAGGTCTAAAACATTTATATTAGATTGAACAGCAGACTGACCATCCGATACATTGATCAAAGTAAGTTGTCTTAATAGTGCCTTTTGTATGAGCAAGAGCAACGATGTAATATTAGCAGTAACACCTTTAAGGTAAAGTTCAGTGAGTTTGCTGGTGTCTGATGAAATATTGAACACTAATATTGTATTTTAGATTCAAAATGGTAATTCTCTTTACTGTTATCAATGTGTACCTTTTCAAGTTTTTCAGCATTGATATTGGAAATTGTAATGTGATCACAAGATACAATCTTAAGATACGTGAGCTCGTTTTGCATTGAAAGGTCTATTATATACGCACGACCTTCACCTACAGGCTGCGCACAAGAAAGACTTCTCATATGACATCCCTCATTAGACTGATTATCAGATACACTTCTCAATTGACCTTCCCCATCAGGCTGATCAGATACACCTTTAAAATGACTTGGGACAACAGACTGTTTATCAGCTACCCGTTTTATATGACCTTCATCAACAAACTGGCCATCAGATATACCTCTGATATGACCTTCAACAACAGACTGATTATCAGCTACCCGTTTTATATGGCCTTCATCAATAGACTGGTCATCAGATACATCTCTGATATGATCTTCAACAACAGACTGATTATCAGCTACCCGTTTTATATGACCTTCATCAATAGACTGGTCATCTGATACATCTCTGATATGATCTTCAATAACAGACTGATTATCAGCTACCCGTTTTATATGACCATCAACGACATAATGATTATCAGAAACACCTCTCAAATGACCTTCATCATAAGGCTGATCAGATTCACCCATAAAATGACCTTCAACAACAGACTGATCATAAGATACCCCTCTGATATGACCTTCAACAAGAGACTGGTTATTAAATTCAGCCCTTTTATAACCTTCATCAACAGACTGGTCATCAGATACACCTCTGACATGAACTTCAACTGCTTGTTGATTATCAGACACGCTTATCATTGTCAGATGTTGTAATGGTGCTCCTTGTAATAATGGTACCAGTGATGCTATATTAACAATAACGTTTTCCAGGTGAAGTTTTCTTAGCTTTCCTGCTGATGAATTAGTAAATTCTAATAATGGTACACTAAAATACAAATTCCATGAGATCATTATTATCAATGTATACCTCTTCAAGTTGTTCAGTATTTAATCCTGTTATTACTAAAAATGAACAATTTGTTAGCTTTACTTTTTGGAGGTGATGATGTCTAGACAAATCAATATGTATATAATCATAACTTATCTCATCATGTACAGAATCTAATGTCAGTTGCCTAAGAAACAGTGCTTGTTGTAATATTGACCTCAGTGGTGTAATATCTATACATTCTACACAGTAATGTAAGTAAATTTCAGTCAATTTGCGGGCAGTTAAAAAGCAAGAAAAGTCTATGCCTGCACAATCTTCAATGTATATACTTTTTAGCTGCTCAGTATCGAGATGAGAAATACTTATAACGCTACAAGAATCCAGAACAAGTGCATGGAGTTGGTTCGGCATAGAGAAATCTATATCACAGTTATCCAAGAAGATTAGATTCATTAGTTTTAAAGATACATTTCCGGAAAAAGAAAGAGGAAAACTTTCATGTTTTTCGAATTGGATGGAAGATATAGCCATGTATTGCACGTGTTTGCATTGTGTGACATACGTCTGAATATCTTTGACGTATTCACCAAATTTATTTCTTAAGTCAATGGACAGAGATATCACACACTCTGGTTTAATTCTTTGTAGAGGAGGAATAGGTTCATCACCTACTATGAAAAGATCACTTAGACTGATTTTTGTTTTCCTGTCAGAGTCACATTCGTTTAGACAATTTACCATTAGCCTTTGGATCTGGATTAAACCACTGTAATATCTTGTATCATTATTTATTCTACGCTGTAAAGTGTGTCCATCCGTATTGACAATACTGGAAATTCTTTTTGACAAATCACCAATCAGATCGGGGGACAAACCGCAAACCATTTTAATCACATTTGATAGTTGTACCACATCACTACTTGATTTGCATCTACAAAACAGCAGATTTAAAACCGAAGCTTCTCTATAAACAGGGGCGGTTTCTTCCATACTATAGTATATTGCAACATAAAATGCGGCGAAAAACTCAATATAAGATATATGGATGAATGAAAATTGTGTGTCTTCAAACATCTGGCCAAAGCATGTACTTTTATTTAGGATACCGAGATCTGTTAGCTCTTTGATATCATCTTTCGATAAATGCTTTTCAAAAATTGACAGACCAAATGTGGCTTGTACATTGTCAGATGTAAATGCTTCAAATGCGAGTTTTCCTAGACGAAAAAGAACGCGTATGTTTCTCTTTATTCTAGGAAATTTGCTTAAACTTTTAGTTAGGTTTAAATTCTTGTTATCTTCTTTTTGTCCAGTCAGGCTTGCATCTTCGTCGAGTTCGTCCTTTCTGTGGTCTGACCAACCACACATTGTATTTAGAATCTGACAGTAAGTTTCACATACGGATCTCCCTATGTCTAAACCATTGCAATATAACCACAATAATTGCTGCAAAAACAACGGTGTGTTCTCTACATGTTCTATTTGCTTTGCCTTCATTATTTGAATGAATTCATCGCACGTTTTATTGGTAACCTGCGTGTTAGAAATATACCTTTCGATGAATGATCGTAATGAATCACCAGATATACCTAATAGCTGTAATTTGAGATCCACTTCTGAGTTTTTCAAATTAAGAATGCCTATTGCTGATGGTCTAGATAATGTAATGACTGTTGCATCTTTAGCTCGGTCCCCGTTTGGTATCCCGTAGCTAACATGTGGTTTACGCACAATTTCTTTAGGTGGCGTCCATTCATCCAAGCTATCAACAATGATAAGACAACGCATTGAGTCTTCTTGAAATATTTTGTCAATCAACTCTGTATTTGAAGTGAGGTCTCTTGTTATTTCTTTAATCATCTCAACTGTTGCGTCAGACTTAAAAGCAGACATATATTGTAACGGGATATAGAAAAGAAATTCATATTGTGCTACCTGACTGACATTATCGTACTCACTTTTCCTATTAACATCACTGGATGCGGTTTTTGTTGCGTCGTGACCATTTTCATAGCGAATCAATTCATTGGTGCTACTTTTTACGACGTCACACCAGTTTTCAATCATCATTTTACAGAAAGTGCTTTTTCCTGTTCCAACATCGCCCAATATATAAATCTTTTTATGTGCTTTCGCTTGAAAATTTTCGTGGTACTCTTTCACAGTATTATTCTCTGGCTTACTTTTATCAGTATTCATAGATTGATTTTCTTTTCTCTTATATCGATCGTTATCCAATTGATTTGTTTCCACGTCTGGTTTTCTGCTATAAAGTATCTTATCCTGTTCTTCTTCCGCTTCTTCCGAAGAATGTGGTTTTGAATTTATGGCTGTCTCTCGTCCTCTTCTATTCATATATTGTTTTTCTTCAAGGTATCCTTTAACATTATTCTTCTTTGGCTTACTTTTATCAATATTCATAGATTGATTTTCTTTTCTCTTAGATCGTACTTTATCCAATTGATTTGTTTCCACGTCTGGTTTTCTGCTATAAAGTACCTTATCCTGTTCTACTTCCGCTTCTTCCGCAGAATGTGGCTTTGAATTTCTGGCTGTCTCTCGTCCTCTTCTATTAATATCTTTTTTTTCTTCAAGGACTTTTATCTCAGGAAGTACATATACATCTTTTACGTTGATGCTATCCTGTTGTTGCTTCAATGGGGTCAGTGATGTATTCACATAATACTTCTTGTAATATTTAACAAGCTCGTCTTGTAACTCTGTGCAAAAGGTAAAATCATGGAGAAAATGCTTACATCATAAGATTATGAAAATTTGACATATTAAGCTCAGTAGTGTTAGTGATAAATAAGGACTGGATAAGTGCCGCTATTTAAAGAAGCAACGACAAATATTGTTGTCTCAATAATTTATGTAATGACCAAATTTAAATGCAAATTTAACTTCTTTAAAAAATATAACTATGGTTGACAAGATGCGTGTACTGGTATTAGTTAGTTGATTACACATTAAAACATGTTTATGTTTAAATCACATCTATATATGTCCTTAAATCATGATGTGATAATAAGACCAACTTTATTCCAACTGGCTTTGCAATATGTGAAGACAGATCTAGATAGAAGTCAGTCATTATCAAACTATTTAAAAAAGTGTAACTACTTCAAAATACTCCAGTGATCCATACTTTCCATATTAAAAATGGAATCCTTAATAATCAAACAGCAAAACGTTGTCAAATTGTGCATTCAAAAATCGACGTTTTGTTTGTTTGATTGTGTTTTATGTCGCACCAACACAGTATAGGTCATATGACGACTTAGAAGCTCAGCTTTACGTGTGAAGGAAGGCCTCATATGCCATTCCGTGCAATATTTCAGACAAGACCAGGCTCCTGAGTAGAACCACCGACATTCCGTAAGCAAGCTGGATAACTTCCTCACATGAAATAATTATAATTCCCCGTCGGGAATCGAAACCACAGCGATGAAAAGAAAGTGGTTTGAGGTCAACGACCTCAACCACTCCGCCTTGCACGCCCCGAACATCGAGCTTACAATTTAAAACTGCGAGAAGCATCGTATAATATGTATAAATTAGACGATAATTAAAATAAACTGTTAGTATTCGTACATTCCGTTTTTATATAAGAAAAGATTCTGTTCAAATTCGTTAGCCCCGGCAAAGATTTTTTAAACAATAAAATTTGACGCGTTATTGGAAAGGATGAGAAAATGAGTCAAAATAAAAATAAAACTCAAAAACACTTCTTTTTTAAGCTATTTGTCGTTTTCATTTTCATTTTATAACGACATGATTTAATTGAAAAAATGTGATTGCTAAATTCTCCGCCGAACAGGAAAAAGTTATAAAAATGAAAACTTTTAGCCCATTTGCACACAGCGACATTTAAATACACATGAAATGGCAATCACCCAAAAGGTTCAAAACAATGAAGCAAATACAGAGCAACAAATAATAATAACGATATGGGGAGTTGATTTAGCTGTCGACTATCTTCCAATGATGTTTCAAATTACGTGTTTTTTCGGGAACCGTTTATGAGTTATGGTGTTAACGAAAAGTATGCAGGAAAAGGAACAAAATACATTTGAATTAAAAGATGAATTGAAGAATTTAAAGACTTAAAAGGACCTCACTGAAGTTTTATTACGTGACAGAACTTGAAATATTTTTCGAGATTTGTAAACCATTTAATGAGAGTCTTAACCAATAAATTGCGTACATATTTTCATAATTTATCATCCCTCGTCCCTGTTTTCAGTATATTTATTTTTATTGTGCAAAATGACACACACAAAAAATGAAAATTGTTAAAATTCTTTCTCTCAAATTTGGCTAAATATCACAAAGAAAGATATTAAATGTAATTCTGAGTATAGTTCTTAATTATCCTTTGCAAATAGCTGCTTCGCTCGATCTTTGTAAACGTTAATATTTGATGTTGTCTCTTTTGACCTCAGTGGAGGTCCTTTAAGTACCGCGCTCCTTTTCAAAGATACCTATCAATCTATAAAATGTCAAGTTAATATCAAAAACACTTATCATGTTGCGTTCTGACAAAAAAATAAGTATGAAAAGTACCGTAGGACGGACGGACGATGGCTTTTTCGGCGGGGGAATAACAAGCAAGTCTAAATAAGTTGGTCATTCATACGTTAAAAAAATTTAAAAAAGACTGTTAAGCAACACCATATGTTGTCAGGAAAATCAATTTAACAGAAGATATTGAAAGTCCTAAGTATACCTCACACACCTATACTGTAATCAACGAACATACCTTTATACTTATAGTTTATTTACATCGACTCCCATTTTGCAATCATAGAACAACAGGTGATATTATTTAAACTTCAGTATAGTTTTAGATTTAATGTTTTAAAGTTGCATGTCCCTGATGAGCCAAAACATTTCAAGATATCAAACCTGCGAAAACGTTACTGAGATTTTAAGAAAAGCAAAATTCAATAGAAAAGTAATGATTTCCATGTTATGTGCGATTAATGATCGAATTTCCAGTATATTTTACCATGCCTCTACAGCCTTACTAACAAATTGGCATATTTGGCCTCCTTTTGTAATTTGCAAGGGTGTAAGAGCCGCTTGCAATGTGTATTTTTTGTTCACTTCATTTATAAATTTTCAAAGTTTTTATATTTATCACCACACAATCAAATTTATATATAAAAATACATTCTTACTTTGTTTATTTTCCAAATACTCCAGTCTTTCCTTTGTCTTCTTTTGATTGTCTATATCTTTAAAGGCAGTTATGTCATCCTCTATCTTGGACAGACGCTATCAGAAATTATAATAATAAAATATCAATATGGTTTTGGATCATGGGCTATCATCTAAAGACTTTGAGCATTTTTGAACGAATAACAAGCAATAACTGTTGATCTGATTATCTATGGCAATCTTGATTTATGATGCCACTATTCACAATTTTTAAGTACATGCAAATGCGAATATAGAGAAAAAATACAATTCTGAGAGAAAAATGGAGATGTATAACACTAAATGAATCATTCGACGATATCATAATGGCATTGTGTTATATTTTCATTCGAGTTAAACGTTTTATACAAGAAGGTTCAATCATATAATGGAAGCATAGTTAACTTTCAGATTACCTCTTTCTCATTGCAGTTTTAAATATTAAAACTCTGAAAAAGTTAACCGAACACAATTGCAGAAGGTTGGTGAAGATTGGGAACTATTGAATGCAGCAAGACCTAATCATTGATTAGTATGTATGCTATCATAAAGCAATTGGTTGTATTTTGTGTCAATATACATCTAACTGGCCTAGATCTACTTAAAAGAGAGATAAATTCAAAACAAATGCTGAAGTAATGTATCATTACATGATCCTTTTTAGTTAAGTATGCGCGGTAGGCCTACTTATTTATATAGCTTTTTAAAAATACCATTCATTAAAGATACATCAAAATACATGCGCAGCATGAAAAGAAATAGTTCTAACACGTCATATGACGTCAAATTTGACGTCATAAAACCAAATGACGTCAGATTACTTCTACGTTCATTGTAGATATAGTTCAATACTTTTATCAATTTTCTTTGTTATAAGCATGTTAGAATGAAAGAAGATAATTATTCTTACGTTCCAATGCTGCAACAATGCGATAGTGCGATGATGACAATATGATAGTGCGATGATGACAATACGATAGTGCGATGACGACAATGCGATTACGCGATGGCAACAGTGCGATAACGCGATGAAGACAGTACTATAGTGCGTTAGTGCGATTGCGACAGTGCGATAACCCGATGATGACAGTGCAATAATGCAATGGTGACAATACGAAAGTGCGATAATACTATCGCAATGTCGTCATCGCACTGTCCTACTGTCGCCATCGCGTTATCGCATTGTCGACTATCGCCTTCCGGTGCACATGCTAAAATACTTTTTGTAACTGATTTGGCGGATCTAATATGCTGACAAATTAGCTGACAATATAGATAATGGGGAAAATTACTTTTGTAAATAGGTTTTATGGGGGTGTTTGTTTTCTTTTCTTTTCTGTATACTGAAAACGTCTAAATAAAATCATAAATTGATAATAAGTTACATTTTATATCCAAAGATAGGGGAAAACATAATTGTTTATTACTTATATAAAAAGATAAACAAATATTCATAGATCATATTACAAAAATATGTAAAAAAAATGTGTAATGGAAAATGATAATACTTATAATGCAGATTTGCACAGTCTATGTAAAATACAAAATAAAAACTTTCCTCTGTGTAAAATACAAAATAAAAAGATTCCTTATATTTGATTGGTCAGTAGTACATAATTTTTCTCCACAAATACAAAGAAAGTTCGGGAGTAAATATAATGGATATATAGCAAGATAGATGTGTTCTTCAACATTGGAACACCTTGTCTCATCGTGTCTATCAGCGGAATCAGTTGGCTATAGTAGAATATGCTGACCAGTTAAACTCATAGTAGAATTTGTTGTTAAGTTAAACTTAAAGTGAAATTTGCTTTGTAATAAATAGTTTTCAAGATTATGAGCGGAAACCATTCTGATACTTCAGGCACCTGTGACCTTGACCTTAAACCTAGTTACCCCCAAAATCAATAGGGGTCATCTAATAGTTATGACTAATCAATAAGTGAAATACGAAGATTTTGTGATAATTTTTTATATTTTTTTAGATAATAAGCGGAAACCATTCTGACATTTAAGACCCCGATGACTTTAACCTTTGAACTAGTGACCCCAAAATCAATAAAGGTTATATATTAGTTATGACTAATCACTATGTGAAACATCAAAACTTTGTGATAAATAGCTTTCAAGATATTAAGCGGAACCATTCTAATATGTAAGGCCCTGATACTTTGACCTTTGACTAACTTAGCCTAAAATCAATAGGGGTCATCTACTTGTTATGGCCAATCAGCATGTGAAGTATGTAAGTTCATACGTTACTATATGAAAACGTTGCGTAATGAGAATATTAGTTTTCGTGATTTCTGTTCTGAAAATAATTGATATGTTATATGCAAGAAAAAAACTCAAACACCGGCTGACGGTAAAGACGGGAATATCTAGGTCCCGAGTGACTGTTATGCAAAAACTCGGCAGAGCCTCGTTTCCGTCGTAAACAGTTACCGTCGAGCTAGGTATGAACCGGCAGTCAGTGTAAGATTCTTGTGAGGCCAATCAATGTGTGAAATATGAAGACTTTGTGATAAATAACTTTCAAGATATTAAGCGGAATCATTCTAATATTTAAGGCCCTGATACCTTGACCTTTGACCAATTTAGCCTAAAATTAATAGGGTCATACTCAGTTATGGCAAATTCATTAAAGTAATTATGAAGACTTTTGTATACATTTTAACCAGCGGCTCTGCTAACTGTCCGTACATAAGCAAAGAATTCCCCTCTTTTCGACGGTGGAACATAAATCTTGACAAAAGTAAAACATTTTCCTATTCAAACCAACCAGCTTATTTTCACCGTTTGAACTCCCTTACCAGTATACACACTGTGTACCGGAAGGCGTAATCGTTATGCTAACGCGATATAGTACAGACAAATAGTGCGTGACGCATCAACGAAAACGCAATAACGAAGTGCGAATGCAGAGACAACATTACGATTACATTTGGGAATTACGATGACGTACAGTCGATAACGCGATTGCGAACGTTTACGATCACGAATGGACATCTTAATAGTTACAGCATTATGTATTGCCGCAATCTCATTATCGCAATATGTTTTTTGTTTTTGTTTTATGTTGTTTGTTGTTGTTGTTTTTTTTATAAATGAATGTGAATTGCTTGAAGACGTTGGTAAAGATGAAAAACATAAATTGAAAAACATGTTCAGCTTTCTTGCCGAAACGAATTTTCCGTAACTATTATCAAAGAACCTGTGACCTGGATTGAGCTGGGGGGAAAATGCAACAGATGTATACTCACATGTATTTGACATTATAACCCATGTATACACGCTATGACAAAAAATATAGTATTGTCTTAATATTACCTGCTTATAGTCCGAATCAAGTCTATCAACTTTCGCATCTATCAACTTCATTGCCAATTCAAGATTTTTAATTTCACCGTTGTTTGATAACAGGTCCAAAGCATCTTTTAATGCTGTTTGTATTTCATCATCAATGACTTTAGAAGCATCGGCTTGTTTCATACTGATGTCCTCCTTTGTATCGTGGATTAATTGTTTAAGTTCTTCAGCCATTCGTGTAATGGTAGACAAAGCTTCCCGACACACCTCCATCTCGTTCTGGGTTGTTATAATCAAGTCATCTGTCTTCAACTTATGAATAAATACCCTTATCGTAATTCATATATGCAATAATTAACGAAGATTTTTAAATCGAACGATAGAGGGACCAGAAATTATTTCGGTGAACAAGATAATCATTAAGGCCCTAGATTCAGGTTCCCTTGCCAATTCAAGATTTTATTCTAAACCTTATTTCAGGTATTGAAATCATAATCTGTATAAAATCACATATTATTTACTTTTTTACTTGTGAATATTTAATTTTTTGTTTTGGTATTTAATCGTAATGTCTGTATTACATGCATATAATTGAATATAAGTGGTATCAAATGATTTGTTTGAATATATATATATTCTGTTGTTGGAAGTGTAATGTCTAAATACATCATTTATGTTTTATTTGTAATCAACGTAACATACGTATTTCTGAACCATTTTTTTAAGAGGCCCGATTGATAAAAGTTTTAAGAAGAGGTCCACAAGGCATATACATATACTTAAGAATATACAAGTAGCAAATATATCTTAAGATATCCAGATAGAGTGAAATATACTGTATGATATATACTCTAATTTTCTGTTTTAATTCAGCTGAACATAAACAATGGTCACTTGGACAGAAACAGTACCTTATTGAGGTTTGTGACCGCTTGTTGGGCATCTTTTCTCATCTTTAATTCTGTGTTGTCTTCCAGAATAGCAATGATATCGTCCACACATTCAGTTAGCTCTGTGTCTTCCATTTCCATTGTTGCCGAATGAAAGATAGAATTTCTTCTGCCACGGACCTGAAGTTGATGTATTCAGTATACTTTAATAAATATATCAAAACTATAACAAAGAAACAATAACTATATTCCGTAGTTTTCTCTTACAATGGAAAATGTAGTTATTTAATGTAAATCACCTAGCTGATATATGATTTAAAATATTTTTGAAGGAAACCTATTCCCTTAACATTTTAGCATAGAATTAAGCTTGTCGCTGGATTGTCGCTTATGACGCAAATCAGTTATAAACTTGTCTTTGATCACAGTTAAAGTTTTAGTATTTGTGAAAGTGGTGATCGCGAAAATGTTGGTAGAAGTATTACCATTGTGCAAGGATTTGTTTATCTATACATGAATGTTCCTATAACTTTGCAATAATTACCTTGATAAAGATGTTTGAAGTACCCGTCATCGAGCATGTTATGTGGGAATGAAGATTGATGTTGTTAATGAAGACATGGAGCAATCCAGATATGTCTATATCAGCTGCGTTTGTCTTGTCTGAGTACCCAGGAGCAATAATGTAACATTTGGCGACCTCCCATGGTTCTGAACACCACTTCTGTATGTCCGTGTTTTGCCAAAACGGTTGAGGAGGTGAGGATCCATGACTCTTCAATATTTCTTCCATAATGCCATCACATATGTTAGTCGGACATCGTTTTTTTTTTACCATGTAAACAGTTACAATACAACAGTCCATACGGACACATTTTCTTTCCGGTGTGATCTCTTTTACAGGTATGCAACGGTTGCAAATTTCTTAGGCAGCAGTGATTGCAGTTAGTGACAGGCGTGTGAATGACAGCAGCAAGGATTCTGCTGTACTCTTTTTTTACTACATCATCAGTAAAACCTTCTAAGCCTTGTTTTAGATACTTGTAAGCCAGTCCACCCCTCACCCAGTTTCTGTACTTCCTTTTCTCTATCTCGCTTTGGTGATCCATCTTTTTTTATCACTCACGATTATCCAATTTTCGTTTTCGGTGCATTATTCTGTTGAAACACAACAAATTCATATTTATGCTACTACAAATAAAATCAGCGCCGTATGAACACATCTGCAGATGTTTCTTAATAAAGTTTTACCTGAATCATCTTTAAATTAAACCGATGCTAGCCGGGATGTACTTATCACTACCGCCTTTGAACAGGCTCTACCAAACCGAATCTTAAAAATGTACAATTTTGCCGTGTTAGTCGTTCTTGATGGATTTTTTTCTATTTTAACGCCTGGTCCCACTTGGTTAATACAGCGGTTAAATTGAAACAGAAATAAGAGGAAACTGAATCCCTAAAGAAAGCAGCCCAACACAGCAAACTTGAAAATGTTGTAGGCTCGGTTTGATTAGCCTGTTTCCATGCTACCGTCCTCGCCACCCTAAGTATCGGCTTAAACAGAATTGAACATATAACAAGAACTGGTGTTTTGAAATTTTGAAACGTCCGCAAATGTGTTCATAATGTGGTTTTCATGGAACATTCAATGTGACACCTAAGTGTCATTCCATGGAAAGCGGCATATGGTCTACGACTAATAAAATGCGTGTTCCCTTAACGAGAAACTAATGGGCAAAAACACAAGAATTTTGTTAGGGAATCAAAGATTAGATAGCCAAGCTTATCTGACACATTAAATACGGTATCACTTAAACTTTATCTTTTTGTTTTTAAGGGAATATGAGGATATATAGCGCTTATAAAATCTTGATTTAAAGACAGGAAAAGTATATTTTGTGTATTTTTGCATTCGCCCACTTTCTGTCAGAAAAAGCAAGTATACGCCCAGTGACTCGATGAGTCAGATTATTTATTGCTGTTAGACGTTTGATCATGACTTAACGAGGGCTTGGTTTATCAGTTACAGGAAAATTTTAATTTCGTAGCAGACAACAAAAACTTTTTTTAATATGATTTGTTTCAAACACTCAATAGTGAAAGGAATTTGTCTTATAAAAATAGAGAAAGCAGTTCAACGTAAATATTTTCAAACTATCTGTCCCTTTTATTTTGTTATTTCAATATTTATGTGTAATACCTGAAAATATTTCATAACAGAATTATTCCAATTTACCATAAAACGCCATTATCTGAGCAAGTTTGTTTGAATCATAAATAAGTACACATCTACCCATTGAGATCTGTTTACCTTCAAAATTTCATGTTGATATCTCTTATAGTTTTAGAGTCATGTCCCGGACAAGATTTTTCTAAAAGGGAAATAATTCAAAAACTGGGCAAAATAAAGTTTTGGTCCTTTGACACTGCACTCCCCCTCAATGCCCTCAACCACTGTATGAAGTTTAAACAAATTTCCTCCAAAGGTTTTCAAGTTACGCTCCGGACAAGACAACGGACGGATAGACGGACAGACGGATGGACAAGGTGGCGACTATATGCTCTCCCTTCAGGAAGCATAAAAAATATCAAACTGAGCCTCTATAGTGTTAATTTTGAAAAGTTAATAAATCATGGAGGTGGTGGAGGTGAAGTTGGTTGTGGAGGAGTGTGATAGTTAGTTTTTTCTACAGTGTTATGATAAAAGATTTGTAACAACCGATAGAAAGAGAAAGAACACTACCAAACATGGCTAGGTTGGGACATAAGAATTGAGCATGACCGCTTTATAGGCATGAGTGATTTCAAAAAATGTTTACAAATCGCTGAAGGATCATAACTCGAGAATAGTTGAAAATCGAATTGAGTCCGTGTCGAAATCAATGGTATTCAATAAATAGCACTTTAACGCAAATTGATATCGTTAATGGTTGCCCAAATCAGTTAACCATAGCGTGCACTTGAAAGGAACCATATGCAATGTAAAACTATATCAAGTAACGAAGGACAAAGGGCTTTTGTTCAAAATATTTCCGCCATGTATTGTGAGCCTAGACTGAGCGACGCCGGTACATAATGATCGCTACATTTGAAAGGATATAAAATTCTTTTCATCTTTTGTGTTGATCGATAATGAGAAACTATATTTAATACCGAAGGACACAGGGCTTTTGTTCAACATACCCGCTAGGTATTGTGCGCCTAGACTGACTGGCGACTGTACTTAATTCCCAATGCTTTTCATTTCATGACACCTGCCTTGGGGGACTGATGAAATAGCTCATGGTGATTGTGAAATGTCTCGACTAAAATAGATCAGTGACTCGTTGGCAAAGTGACTGTAAGAGATATTACTCGGGCGTAAAAGTATTTAGTGTTTTCATATATAGTCATGGACAAATTTATTGAGTAGAAGTAAAATCGCGTAAAATTGAGATGCTGATAGCAAAGTGTATACATTTAACGTGTATAGCTTCATAGAAACAAAACATTCATGCAGAATACTGTCGATATCTTCCTTGTGAACGGTCGTAGCATAGTCAAGTTGTGTATTAAACGAAATGTTTTGCGAGCGCTTTTGTTCGATTAAACATAAAATCACTCGTGCGTAAAAATGCATTTTCCCGTCTAGAGCCGAGTCCCTGGCCCTAAATGGACGCGAACATGCTGTAAATCGAGTATACAAGTTAGCCCTGTATGCTTTCAGGAGATCTTAAAATAAACCATAGTGTAATTCGTTAAAATTAGAGTCCAATGTGGCTGCCGCTCATATTTTCAAATTTTCGCACCTTGCACCTACTGACAAATATGGCCGCCGGAAGTGACTCTTATCCAAGATTGCGGCCGCGGATGCGTTCACTTAGGGATTAAAGGCGCATATACTAATGCTATACATTGCATTATGTCCATCAGTCGGGTCAATATAGAAAATGTTAATATACTCTTGACTGATTTCATGTTTAAAAATTAAACTATTTGTATAGATCTAATTATTTCGTGACTATTCATTGTACAATAAAATTGTGTATATTACATTAAATATAAATAATTTTTTTAAATGAAAAAAACAATGGTATTTCTCCATATCATGAATCGCTCGACCAATTTAATTTTGTAAATGCTTACCAATTTACTGTTTGAAATTACTTTTATTGTTCCATTTCAATCATTTTTAAATAATGTTTACATCGAAAAACACAAAACGCACCATATTGAATGGTAATTCAATACGAACTTATAGATACGATCTAATTCTAGTTTTGTTATCCCTATCTATCAACCAGAATCACCATGAGTGAAAGGACGCGATCAAGTGACCAGTACCCCAAAGAAAAATTGATGCGTTCAAAGTGACAAGATCTCTATGTAAAAAATCGTAAATTTTGGAAATTTTAAAGTGTTGAAGAGGATTTGAATTGTGAAATTTTATACAAAACGGATTGCTGAAAATATTAAATACCGGTACTGTCAAAAACTGAGTTCGATGTTATAATTAACTAAAGATTTTGCGGATTTTAAACTGTTCCTTTGTCTTTGTGTGAAAGTGTGTTAATATCATGGCGGAAGGTACCGATCCTGTTCTCATTTCACAGAGTCAGAATTTTAATCTGCATTCTGGTGAAACGGAGAATCTTCAGGTTTTTAAGCCTTTCTCTGCGCCTGGAGTCTCTGCGCCACAATTAAATACGGAAACTTGGGAAAAGACACGGAATATTCAATGTGCTTGCTGGCATTTCGCCAGTCACCTCAGCTATAGTACGGCTGACCTAGATGCAAACGAGCATTCCTTTGTGTAGTCTTCAGAAAGCAGTGTGACCAGCGTTTCTCAGCTTTACGCTGGGCAAGGAGCTATTTATAGTTCGGACAATTTATGTAACTGGGAGACAGATCGTTTCAGGGAGTGCAAGGTTATTCGACGAAAGGAATAATTCCTTAAGTTCAAATAATGAACAAAACACTAACAATGAATTCAGAGGAGGCAGAAGGGTTGTTTGATTTTTCATTACATGCATTTAATTCATTAGCTTATTTGCATCGCGATATATCATCGCAGCGGCGTCGGTTGTCGTTGCCGGCAATATCATCGAGGTACTCAAGCTTGTGCAATGAATATGAAAATGTGTCATCGCCAACTCACCTATTTAGGGATGATAACGATTTGGAAAAGCGTCTGAAAGAGATCGAGGACAATCAGAAGCTTAGGAAAATTTAAGTTGTCACAAATTACAAAACTAGACAGGATCCAGGTTAGGGGTGGGGCAACACTTCAACACTCCAAGACAACAAACACATGGTCGGGATTTTTAGGCAAAAGGGCCCAGAACCAACACCGAGTTGCACACACATACACACCAGTGCATGGGCAACCGAAAAGTGGAACAGGGCCAGAAAAAAACAGCACGAATTTTAAATGTTAATAAATTAAGCCAGTTTCGTAACACGCTCGGGAATTTCAAAGGTGGGAAAGTTAGCATCTTTATTATTAAGTGGAAGCAAATTACAAGTGCCAGGTATATTTTAAATATTATTGAGACAGAAAAAATATAATAAAATAGAATTTTGTTTCGAACCATGCTTATATTATCATAAAAAGAAGAAATAAAATTTTCTGGTAAAAAGGGAAGAAAATTTGATGAGCTACTTGAAAAGAGAAAATCGAAAGAAGTCATCAACTTGATACCGCCTAGCAGGGACCAGATTTTATCCAACATTACGAGTAATCTGACAGTGTGATTGGTCAAGTGTTACAAAAATTGGAGCAAGACAAAGCGGAAACGGTATAAGTAGCCCCGTTGTTTTTGACACAGCCATGGTTACCTCGGTTACTACAGGTGGCAGCGGATCAACAGAGAATATTACCTCCAGTGTGGGAGAGTTTTAGACATCCCACACAGACACATAACAGAACGGGCAAAATGATTCTGGGTGTTTTCAGGAAATCAGGGAAAAATTATGTGGTAAAGGATTATCAAAACAAACTACAGAACTCATTCTTTCATCATAGAGGACTGGGACTAAAAACAATATAGTAGCTACTTATCAAAATGGATGCACTTTTGTGGTTCACAGAAAATTGATCCGTTTAACCTCGCTATGACCTGTGTTTTTAACTTTTTTTAACTTTCTTAACAGAATAATATCAAAAAGGATAAGGATACAGCGGTATTAATACTGACAAAATCGGCAATATCTAGCATTGTCTTTATTGTATCATTAATGTACAGATTGGTAATCACATAAAGATTAAACAGTTCCTTAAGGGCGTATATAATGAGAAACCTAAATTACCGCGCTATAATTGCACATGGGATGTCAGTGTAGTGTTAAAACATATTTCGGATAATTTAAGTACAACTGATAGAAAAACATTCCTTAAGCATATAAGCCTTAAATTGGTCGTGTTGTTGGCATCAGGACAGCGTTTGCAAATTTTGCATAGCATTTATGTCCAAATTATTGAGATTAATTATTGTGATTATATAAAAATTAGAATTGGCCATATATTGAAAACAAGTTGCAAAACAACTCTCAGAATTATAAACATTGAGAAATATCCAGATAATGAAATATATGTGTTGTTAAAACATTATTACAATATTAAGAGACAACAAAGACTCTTTGCAAAACTGGGGGTCAATTGTTTATTATTTATCAAAAACCATATTTATAAATGTATTTCAAAGGAAAATGGATAAAAAGCGGTGTTATCAGGTGCGAGTTTTGAAATGAACATTTTTAAGCCGCACAGTACTCATAGTGCGTCAACCAATGTGCCATCCTCAAAAATACCTTTTGAAACAGTGTTAAAAACCAGACTGTATTTCCAGCAAATTTTATTAAAGAAATATTACACACAATTATGATTTTGCAAGGTCTGTGTTAGATACGAGCAGATAAACGTTGAAAACCGTTTGAAAGAAGAAAAAAATGTAAGATAAATAGAATGAATTTATGTTGTTTGTACAGTTTTTATACATATTTCATGTTTGAAAGGTCAGAAATTACAGGTATGTTCAACGTAGGAGTTACAAAACTTTATTGAGTTTTTTAATCTCCTACGTAGGAGTTATAATTTTTAAGAAAACATTTTAAATTGGCTTCCGTACAAAATGAAAGAAAATTGTTAATATTTAAACATTTAATAAGTAAGAGCAATAAAGTAAACATACCTGTCCATTTTAAAGTTCCACCGCAAAGCAAATATATGCGTGCTGACTTCACTTTTAAACACTCTTTTAAGCGCTGTCATTACGCATGCGTTGTCATTACGCATGCGCTATTTATTTTTTTGTCCTGTTCACCTTGTAGCTTTTACATATTGACAATACCATAAATTTATTTCAAACTTAATATATGTTCATTCACATGTATTAATAGATACAAATATTGCAAAGGTCCATTGTAATAGTCCTTCTGTTACCTATGTAATAGATTGTTTAAAAGGTTTGAGTCGTATGTGTGTTGTTGTTTTTTTTAATTATTTCAATACGGAACCAAAATAAAGCAATAGGTTGTTAATGTATCTTACACGTGAACTATTCTTACAAGTTTTAAATGTATGGCAATTGTGAATATCATAATGGTCTTATGGTTTGCCAGAGAAGGAATTTTAAATTGGAACGTTTACAGCAAACTATTTGAATTTTTCAAAATTTAGCACTTTATTTAAGAAATAATATCGACTGGTATAAACGGATATCAATATTTTCTAGATTTTATTCATTCATCAGGTATATAATTTGCTTAAGATGAGAACCAAACGAAAACATAGACACAATTGTCAAACAAATGACAAAATATAGGAACAAAGGGAAAGAGAACAAACATTTTAACAGTACACAGTCCTATATACAACTCCAGCCCTCACATTACTGTCAGGCTGCCTTTATATACACAGAAGAGAAGTATATTTCTAATATCATGAATGGTATCAGATTGATAGAATAAACTAGAATCGGTATGTCAATAGTTACAACAGTAAGAAACTATTTGAAAACATCCATAATCACTGTGTTGTAAGCTGTATGGTCGTAAATGTGTAGACACATCTAAGATGGCAGACTGTCTAAATAGTAAGGTAAGCGTTTCACTTTTTAATTTGTAACATTATCACTTTAGTCTGGTTTAAATTCATGTAGTAAAATGTTTATGAAGAACGTGTATCGTCTCCGTAACATATAGAAAAAAATCCATTGTAAATATGTTTCGAGTTATTTTTCACTGGTCATATTAAACGATGCTCACGCATTGTTTTTAGTAATAATTTATTTACTAGGCTCATACTTTGAGTGCAATATGTTGTGTCTAGAGATATTTTACCCACCTTTTACGTTGTTTGAAGTTCTTTTTGTAAAATATTTTTATAAATGCTCGAAATCATATTTTAATTCAAATCTTAGACACATTCAATGCAGTGGTGTAGTCCACATGTATAGTTTTGCACACAGCCGTGTAAAAACGACATTCCCAAAACGGTTTAGAAACAGAAATGAACTTTATTTCTGTACGGTTATCAATTTCTTGCATATAATGTCTTATCTATTTCATATTCAAACCTTTCACCTGCTGAATCTGTTCTTTGGGAGTTTTGGACTAAGAACACGTAAACGAGGCTTAATAGTTAAGAATGAATCATATAATTACGTTGCAGTATCACACAGTGCAAACACTGGCATTTTATGAGGTGTAAAATAGATAGATCTCATTTCTGTTGAATCCACCTTTCCCATGGAATGTATGTTTTCAGTCTCTGCAGGTTGATGCTGCAATGAGTAGCTTTGAATAAAACGGGACATATAGTCCTTGATAGACATGATGGCAACATACTGTATCAGAGGAAATATTCTCTGCATCAAGTTGTATCAGAAGAAGTGTTTTAATTTAAGTGATAAAGGGGACATGTTTAATATAACAGGGGACATATATACATATCGTATCAACACCTTTCTTTTTTAACTGGTTAATTTACAAATATATTTTGCTTACTTTTATGCTAGAATTTTCAGATTATAATTTTTTCCGTAAAAATATTTAAACGTCTTTTTAATACAAGTAATAATCATTCTTTTAAATATCTTTATAAATACAATAATCATATTCTCAAAATTATCACAATTTTTATGCGCGAGAGATTATTTTATTTAAAGAAAGTGTTCGAAATAAGTGTTAACTTTTATGTTTTTGTCTTGCTTTCTCAATTCAATTTTTATTCGTATAAAAACATGCAAAGGCGTTACTTCTTTCCTATTAGAATTTAAGGACCAGACGTTTTTGGGAGTTTTCGTATGTATACGAATGAGACAAAAATAAAGTATGAATATATATAGACATATAGGCAAAATGAAAACTGTTCAATAGAATTTCTTTAAACTGAGGTCACCGTTCTAATTTTTGAGTTCTCTGCCCTTGAATTTGACTTTTTTGTTCAATTCAGGGGCAGATAATTTACAATGAAGGGAAACAATACATTTTTTTTCTTTTTTTCATGACGTTTACCTGCGTTTTAGTTGATATGTAAAATTTCATGAAATAATTTAGAGTGGATAGTTTTTTTCATTAAAAATTAAAAATTGGCGGATTTTTTAAGAATTTAAAGTACCTTTATTTTATTGAAAAAAGACCAACAAAAAAACAGAAACAAGATAAGGAACTGCATGTAATTTTGTCTTGTGATCAACAATAAAAAGAAAAACATAATCCAGAAGTAAAAACAAGATTTCATTTAAGTATGTATAAGTTATTTGCCCTTGAAAGGACCTCAAATAAGTGGACATTTCGGATTGAGGGGCAGATAACTCAAAAACAAGAACGGTGGCCCCAATTTATTTTTTAGGTTAAAATGTTTCTGTTATCATATTCTAGCAACATGCCAAGTTTAAAAATTTTTTTTTTCATTTTGCCTGTATGTCTGTATGAAAACTCCCGAAACGTCCATAAGTTAAATGATTCAATTGGTGTGCTAGCTCCGAAAGGTTTTTTCTTTTAATTACAAAATTAATTTGAATTAAACTCGCATGTAATAAGGAAAAAAATTCATCATTACGTTATATCATATCAAAAATGTTTCTGGTTTTTAAATTTATTTTGCAAATCAAATTAAACTTAAGTGTCACGCGATTATAAATGAACAAACATATTTTTGAACAAAAAAGAACTGGAAAAAAAAAGAACTGATCGTCTAAATATTCAGAACTCCGTGGGGTATCTTCAGGTGTCATACATTATTACAATATTTTTCCGAAGGAGACCTCTGAGGTAGTGCGATAAGCCGTTCGGGCCTGGTATATATCAATTATAGTATTATTGACGCCCAATTAAGGAAGCTCATATTACAGGTATAATAAAAGAGTTGATAAAACTTATATACGAATAAAAACTATCACGCTTATCCGCTTATCAAACTTGACAGGTGATATTTACAGGTGTATTTTTCGTAATTTATTTGAAACTAACCTTATTAAAAATGCCGCAAATTCTTTGATATTGATATTGTTCAACTATATCTTTAATTTTAAAGTGTGCAGTGAAGTGACAGGAAAGTAAAATGTTGAGATTAATAAACATAAACTTTTAAGTTAAATTTGAGGTGAACTGATCAACTATAAGTTGGTCAAATTATTTTTGATAAATACTCTAAAAATACAAATTATTTAACATACATCCGATTTAAAATTTAAAATTAGGGATAAAACAAAAGAAAAAATCTATATATTGTTAGAAAACAATATTTGAACATAATAATTATAAACCCAGAAGAAAGAAATCTGTACCATAAGGGACAAGAAAGAAATACAAAGACGTTCTCTTTCTTTTTGCTTGTTTGTTTGCTTCTTTATTTCTTCTTTTCATGAAGATACGGCAGATTTTTTAACCGACTGGAACAGTTTTCAAAGAACGTTGCTATTACAACCGAACGTTGTTATAATAGGCGAAAACAAATATCACCAACAAACATATACATAAAATATATTTTTCTTGACGTGTTAGCATGTAAATATATCTTGATTTTGAGTGATCTGTGTTATACATATAGCACAGTAATTCGCTCAGATGTTTGTAATTCATCACTAATGCCTACGACCTTTGTGATTATATTACTGTGCATCTGAACTCCATTCTGTGCTATATTATAAGATAGGAGAAGTAGTTTATTTCGGTAACTTATACAACAGTATCTTGTTACAGATAGATAGATAGATAGATAGTTTAAAATCCTTAATTTTTATATCTTAAAGAATGTAAACGCTTTATAATAGATAAGCTCACTTTAGTACTAAATAGTGTTAACGTTCATTCTCCAAAAATATGTAAATTGAAAATTTGTGCTACAACTTTGTTCATGTACCATGATATTGTATTTGATTGTACTATATAAATGTGTGTAATATGACTATGTACTGAATGTATACGTCAATAAGTTATCTATCTATCTGTATCTTGTTACATACAATAATAACAAATATCATAATTCTGTGGTCACATTACAAAAGCAAAGAATATATAATAATAAGAACATAGAAAGTTTGAACTAATGATATTCCAGAACATTTGTTTCAAACGAAGAATAGACAGCTGCAAATAAAGAAAACAAAAGAACACCAAAAACATCATCATCATTCATAGAAATAAAATATTCAACAAAGAAAGAAAAACACCAAAAAAACAAAAAAGACGAGAAAAATATTTTTTATTTTTATTTTTTAGATAGATCACTCAAAATCAAGATCTTTTTCCTAGATTAATACTGAAATTTCATGTTAATTAAGGGATGTAATTACAATCATCAATTTTAATAAAATGACAATGTATACTATGTGATAAGGTTTAACTATATATATAACTTTTTTTCTTCTTTCGTCAGCTAAATGTTAAATAATGTTAAAACTCTGAATACATTAGAGTGAAACATTACCTATTATAAAAAATAGTAAATTAACATTGAAAATATTCATAGATTATTAGATCGAAAGATTTCAAATGAAACACAAATATATACACAAAATTTGCATATAATCATAAATCATAATCATACTAAAATTTTAAACAGAGCAAATATTGATACTTTAATGTCGTTGAAATCATATTCTTTATTGATTCAGAGCAAAAAAGAAAATGCATTCCTATACTGAGTTAGAAACATAATTTTCATGAAATATGTTAAAAGCCATAATGGTGCTACGGACTTAGTAATGTAATATTGTCGTTAAGATATGTTTTAGGTGTTTAATTATGGAACACATCTAATACCAAAATCCGCATTATTTGGGTTTAAAATAAAGCCCCTTTGCTGCAGATACTTTATTGTTTTTGTATATTTGTTTTAAGATTATATAATTATCATCGGAAAAGCTCCCTTTTTTAATCTTTACTGCGA